TTTTTATCTTTTTTCTAGTAAAACATGATTAATTTAAATCAAATAACTTAAGTGGTGCATTTTTTATGACGGCTACTTTATATATTAATATACAGTATACATATATTCGGTAATAAAATATGTTTAATTGCTTAGTTGCTTTTTTAATGATACTTATTGATAATAAAATTGTTACAATACTATTTATTGCATACGGTCATTAATCAGTCGCTCCTTGAAAAATAAGCCCTTACGAATATGTTTATCGAGGTACTTAAAAGTAATGGCGCATTCGGCGCGCACGATCCTTCAATCAAACACTTCACATCTAATTTTTAAGAAAAAGGAAACTCTCATGGGTAATCCTGCAATAATGATTGTTGGATTTATTGTGTGACCCGAAGATCTTTACACGCGCAACGTGCCTCTTAGAAAAATCGATTTATCCGCTCTAAAAAATTGCATCATCTCACTGGATGCACCATTCGCAATTACCTTTTGGTTCCTTGAAATAGGCGATAATTATCATGCGTGGAATATGTGACTCTGCTTCATTTCATGAAAGAGAATTTTCATTTCGGGATTTCACCAGTGATATAGCCAATTATTGACGTGACTCTGACCGCGATCCAAGTCGTCGCGGCGCCTAATTTAAAATCCTCCTAATGGCGGTAAATATGAATATACAGAACTTTCGGAAATTTGTTAAATTTAACAATAGAATACTGCGCAATAAACTACGAATCAATTATCGCTATGGAATGATTGCTCTTGGGGAAAGAGTAATAATCATTTGGTCACGCGTTGATTTGAATGGGTGACTTAATGCCATCCTATGACGAACGTGCATTGTCAAATTGGAATGAATTAATTACATATGCCTAAAAAGTCTTTGTCTGTTGTAAACGAAAGATGGATGGCGCTGATTATAACTGCGCATAGTACGAAAAAAAGAGGATAAATAGAGGGTTAATAGAAATGAAAAGGAGGGCGTCGCTAATAACCATAATAATCATGAAAAATAACCGTAGCGAACCCCGTCGGCCTGTCAATGCTTTTATCTTTTTTCGCAAACATTATCATAAAATATTAAAGCAAAGACATTCTAAACTTACTTCGGGGAATGTTTCGAAAATCCTCGGAAAAAAATGGCGGGAAATGGGGCAGGAGGAAAAAAACGAATGGATCAAGAAATCGATCACGATGTCAATCGAACATCGCAAATTGTATCCATTCTACTCGTACAATGAGCCGACGCCGAGTTCCATCGAGGAACATCCGCTGATCTTCCAACCTGTCCCGCGGGAGTTAGTTGCTTGTGGGTCAAATTTTATTGTTATCGAAAAGGTGGCTCAAGCCGGCGACTCCGAGAGCAACCAGGAAGAGTGGATGGATTACATAAACTGGGACGGGCATCCAGTACAATAGCACGCTTTAACACAACAAACACTTCGAAGCTAACGGCCTAAAGAACTCACGTTTGAATAATTTTGCGTCTTAGCTTTTTATACGCTTCTTACCGTCGTCTCTAATTACGTCGTCTCGAATATTAATATTAACCCCCCGAAAAGTAATGATTTCTCGTTGTGCCACATAACATTTTCGTGTAATATACAGTGTATTATAAAAGGAAAATAGATTCATTATGCAAAAAAAATGTTTGTTCGTCAACTTCTCTGTAATGCGAAACCAAATATACACTTAATTTCGCCTTTCTTTCGAAAATCAAATTTTCATCCTTCCGCTAGGACTCCTTTCATTGCCTTTCGTAAACATTGCACCCAACCAAAGACCATCTTCCACATTTCAAAGACTACTACATTCGAAACTTTACCTACATTAAAAAGTAGCAATGCATTTTTCTGTCAAAAGTCGACGCCATCGTCAAAACCTTACAACCGGCTTTTAAAAAATAAAAATCTACGAAAATATGCTGATCAATTTCGTTCAAAACCTGCCTCTCACATAATTTCGTTCCTTTTCTTACATGAATTAACTGCCGTCGCGCCAATTTTCATTATCTTTGTCTTTCTATCCACGACCGGTATCGAAGTTCCCCTTTCACAATCACTTTTAGACGAGGGAAACAAATTCATTAATCGTGTCGTGGTTTACTATGGTTACGAGCCCTTTGAGAATGGCAGTCAGGTCGCTTTAAATTTGGTCACGAGTTACGCGATCGTTAAGGTATGGAGCAGCCGTTATTCTCGGGTAATCATTGCACTTACAGTAAATACCAATTCCAATTTATTAATTTATGCCTACATTTTAAGATTTTGTTGCCCGTTCGTATTGCAATTTGTATCTGGTTGACACCTTGGACAGCCGAAAGGATCATAGGTCCCATCACCGGGCACATTAAGCGGTTTATAAAGACGAATTAGAATCGGTTCATAATCTTTTTTTAAGGAAGATCTCATCGTGTTTATCTCTTCTTTTTTTCAATAAATTCTATTATTGCTTTGTTCTTTGATACTTTGACGAATGTTACTTATGTTTTACATGGGTACAATTCAATTAGTTGGGTTAGACTTATTGAGCAAATCCTTTATATGTTCACGAGTAGCACTCTCTAAGACCTCGTAAATCTCCTTGCACCCATCGGCCGCCACTTTCATGATGAGCTCTAACTTTTCAACATGAAGACGCGAATCGAGCTTTGATAAAATAGATTTCAAAAAATTCGATTAGATGCCAAAAAGGGAATTTTTAAAATAATGGCGTCTGCAAATTTTCTTTTATAATACCTGAAGCAAGGTAACTTTTTCGGATTTTGGTAACAAAGCCAACGTTAGTCTCGGAGTATCAAATGTTTCTTCACTGTTATTTAGATCTAGAAAAAAGATGAATTAAATTTTAAGGAATTTGACTATAATGAATCTTAGAAGATTTATCTACCAAGTAAAATTGTGTCCTCAATGCTTCCCACCGAACACGCGCAAACATATTCCAACATTGGTATTCCCGCGTCTATCAAGGCCAGGGTGGCGGCGTTAATGCATATTTGAACGGTGCCTAAAATTCGTTTAAAGACAGGACACTGAATTTTTTTTTTTAATGACAATGAAACTTATTATGCTAGCAAATATCTGTTTAAGTTCGTTACCTCCGTCGAATTGTAATATCTGCAGATAGATGTCAATTTGGGATCTAGCAAATAAGCTTGTCATTATAACCGGCTCAAAGGTCTGTTTAACTGCGGATGCAATCTCCAATAATCGTCTATGTTAAACGTGTTAGTATGTGGAACTTGAAAGATGATTGCTAAATTGATGATTACTTGTCAGATTTCGCTCTCTTCTTCCTTTCAGACACACTAAAAGGCGCCAAACTGAGTTCCACATTAATTATGGCTTTGTTATGTATAATCTGTCCCTTTTGTCTAGCCTGACATCAAATCAAATCGAAACAAGGGTAAACAAAAAATAATAATCCCGACAAATCAATCCACCAATGCGCGCATACCTCTCTCGGTCCGTAAACCGCTGCCAAACATTTTGTATTTCCTTGTTCGATGTAGGACGATCCATCTGCTTGACTTAATACTGAAGGTTTACATTTTATCTTCCTCAATTCATTTGCACGGCGACCATCTTGTCGAAGTCCTGTGTATGTCATGAAATCAGTTGTAAATCAAAAATTTTTTTTTTTTTTTACAAAAGTTCACAACTAACCTTGAGGCCCTATTAATTCTTGTCGGGACTATGTTGGCGAATAAGAATTTGACCCAATGTAAGTTCAAAAAAAATCTTTGGCATTGAGAAAACTCACCATTTTGAAATTTGGATATGTTGAGAGTGTTTTATCATCGCACCTACGCTTTGATTTACCTCGTATTACGTAATTTTAAAGCTGACATGTAATTGGTTGAAATGTTAAATGCATACAGCACAACTAGAATGTTAACAAACATTGATTAGGTTACAGGAGGGTGCATGTATAGGGCTGGTCCATTTTACATTTCCTTTCTCTTTGAAGAATTCGAAAAGATGAGTACAAATCTACGGAGGTTTGTCGAACGGTTAGTCACCGTATACACTGCACCGAACGAATTTCAGGAGGGTCGCTTCTTACTCATCCTGAAATCAAACATTATAGTAGGAATAGAACTTTGGCTTCAATATAAGAAGCGCACGTCAACCGAACAGAAACCATATAGCGAGAATTTGGCAAAAGATCAGTGGGATGCTTCACCAACTTCCTCATGTGGCATGGATGCCTTCGTCACGTTATTGAACCCAATTTCGTATAATGCTGATTTGTTCGAGTGTCTCGCTGAAGTTGTTACTCCTTCGCGGGAACTTGTGATTCGATGGATGGCACCTTATCTCCGACGTTTCAGTAAATACATTCCTTCACAAAACATGTGGCTCTGTGATCAACGGCGCATGGGACCAGAGTACATGAATCGTGATATTGGAGAGATGTATCTTAGACAAGGAATATGTGAATGCGTAGACGTTCTGAGACAATTCAACGGAAGGGAGGAGGTGATTAATGTAGCCCTTGAGGTTCTGGAAGGCGCTGAGATGCCCACATATTTGAAGGTCATGTTAAGAGGGATTTCTGACGAAGAATTTCCTTGGTAGACTCTAATATAAAATCAAATCAATCTTTCGGACTTTTTTTAAAAACTTTCGCTTAGCCAGTCGAATTAAAATACAATAATAACTTTTTTTGGATTTTCTAAATAGTTTATCGTGGTTAATGTTTTATACTAGTTTATAGTAACTTTAAAAAAAAAAAATCCTAATATATATATATATATATATATATATTTTTTTTTTTTTTTTTTTTTTTTTTTAACCCGCAACCATGCCATATGGCTTAATCTTTATTGCGAAGTTTAAACTATCTACAATATTACAGATTTTTCACATAATGACTAACTTGTCATTGCACCAAAGTACTCTAAGTCAAGTCTAGGGGACAATATTTCACTCCACTAGAGGATTGGTATATACCTCTACCTCTATTCACTAGATTCATAGTTAATAGTTTGTTACTATAGATTATCCATAAACCATGAATTGTTAAAAGGAAGAGGAAAAGAGAAATGAGAAAAGTAAACAATTCATGATTTTATTAAAAAAATCCAAAAAGAAAGCAATTCTCCTTCAAAAGGGATCTATCTAATTGAGATAATCTTCTTATTTCTCTTGAATCTTAGAAGAAATTTTCTTCATCACTATTTGTGATATTGAACAAATCATTTAAGCAAACATCAGATTGAAATATTTTTTAAAAAATATTTATTTAGATCTCAATTTTTGTTTATTTGCAATTCATATTATCAATCTCTTGATATTTTAATATTATAAATATCTTTCTTAAGGGACTTAAGTTTTTAAAAGACAAATATTTTCAGAATATTTTTTTCAATTATCAATAATATTATCAAAACATGTGAATATAATTAATAAAAACTTGGTTATATTTCAAAAATCAATATGTTTTATATTAGCCAATCACCTTTAATAAGGATTTATATTATTTAAAATTCAGAATCAAATTGAAATAGATAAATTTTTCAAAAAATTATAAAAAGTAAAAATTCTAAAAAAGCCTAAACAGTTAAAAAAAGAAAAAATAACCCTTTCTATTATAATAAAATTACTATAATCTCTTATTTTAAAGATTATTTTTTTAATAAAATTAAAGAATTAGTAAAAAAAATATTTTGTATAACTTTTTTTTTTTTATTTTTTATAAACCCTCTGTCAGGCTAGGTATGTGTGCTTTATTAAACATATACTGTATATACTTTACATTGAAAATATATCGCTAAAGCTAAGTCTCTATCTAACTCACTCGTCTCTATTTTAAGAATTATTAAAACTTTAAGTATAACTTCGGGAGTGATTTATCGCTCCATTAGCAGTTCAGGTAAAGACCCTTCCAACTGTTAACTTCATTGCCTACAGGTCACTACTGCAGATCACTCTGTGAGGTTCTGACAGAGCTTAAAACCCAACCATTTCATTCCAAACTCCACTCT